ACTATTAATGTGCTAATACAGTTTTTTGTAAATTTGTTGCAGATCAAAGTTTCATATTAAGTGATACTGTGAATTATACTGACTGTGAATTATACAACTTAATTACAATACTTTTAACTTTATATACTTATATTAATACTATTATTTTAATTATTTGAAGTGTTTTATTTAACTGATTTTGTTTTTTTTGAGAGATTTTTTAAACAAACAAGTGTTTATTTATTTTTTGGTTTTTTTTTACCAGTTGGTAATTTTTTTTCTTTCTATTAATTTATATTTATTTTTTTGTAGGTTTGAGTAGTTAACGTTTACTCTCTTGTGCTGCATTTACGTTGCTTACGCATAAGATATTTTTAAAAGAGTAGTTAACGTTTACTCTCTTGTGCTGCATTTACGTTGCTTACACATAAGATATTTTAAAAGAGTAGTTAAAGTTTACTCTGTGGTTTGGCATTTACGTTGCTTGAATACATAATTTAAAAAGAGGACTTTTGTCTACTCTTTAGTTTGACATTTACGTTGTCTGAACTCAAACGAATTAAACATTTTTTTAAACATGAGTTTTAATAGTAAAATTAATGAGGTCGCTCAGTATGTGCGTACTGAATATGCAAAGTTAGATTTTAACGACGTGTCAGCGTCGCATAGCTGTGTTAATGGCATTTGTAGTATGGTTTTTAAAAAAAACAATGATAAGAACTTAAAAAGACTTGTAGTTAAGCATTTGCGAAATGAAAATTCATCTCTTAGAAAACATATAAATAATAATGCTGATATCAGCAACGATTGTTGCTCCTCGTTTGATGAAAGTGTGACCTTTAAACTAAAGAATATATTGGAAACGTCCAATTTTTCATCGACCGATTTAAAAAAATTCGAAGGTCCTGTAGTTGACGATATTTGTAGACAGTTAAAAGTCAAACTTGATTACAGTAACAAAAAGTCTGTACACAGAAAATGTCTTAAATCGTTTGACATTTCTAATAGTATTAAAACTGAGGAAATGAATAAGTCTAACGATAAAAGTACCGGTGAGACAAGTTCAAAAGACATTTCTAGTTTTGTTACTAATAACAGAAATGAAATGGAATTTGTAGTGTTAGACAATTTAGATATGGCTATATCAACACCTGACATTACTTTATCATCTTTTGACGAGAACGATATCACCGATAGTAGTTCGGTAAATAAATCTGGTCTAAACGATGTTACGCTGGAGAAATCTGTTAACAACAGCTATCAAACGGTAGTACCCAAAAACGAAATATCTATGATAACGCTCCAAAAACCGTTTATTGATATTACTGATGGAGCTATTATTCATAGTACTCCTGTAACAAATTATAAGAGAACAGCTGGTGATAATGATGTCACCCCGGTAAAACAAATTAAAAAAAATTATGATAAAGTGCCGACACCATTGAAAAAAAAAACTCCTGTTAAACTTGGAGTTGTTCTACCCATGAACTCAAAAAACTGTGTTGATCCTATTCTCACTTTCAATAAAGTCTATGTGTACGAGGGTCAATTTGTAATTCCGAAAGAGCAGTGGTCGCTCATTAGTGGCTTTAATAGCAAAGGCGATATCAAAGTGATAGGAAACAGGTATGCAAGTATTATTAGGAAGCTCATAAGAACAGTTAATAACACATGTGTTCTGGCTACGAAATCGGTGAACCCCGGTAAATCGCATTGCATTGCTTATATGTATTGTAAACATTCCGGTTGTAAAACGTTTAAACTGAAATGTGTGCCTGGACTACGTGAAACTGTTGTTCATGTGTACAGTTCTAATATTAATTTCAACCATGATCCCGCGTCTGGCCTAACATGTCACGTCAAAGGCGTGCAACGAGATTTATTTCGAGAGAGCTTAATTAAAACCAAAGCTTTTGTACATACTTCTGAAGCTATTGAGAACGCTTCGACGGCCCAAATAGAATGTGGGAACTTACAAGACACTAATAAATCCGGTGACGTAAGGAAAATCAGGTCAGAATCGTTAATAGCAAACGACTGTGCGCACGAGACGATTTGGAAGACCTTTTGTCAATGTATTCTGATAAAAATATTAATTATTTGCATCATGTCGGGTTACCGGCGTACGTCCATGTTTATAGTACAGAACAGTTAGATTTATTAAAAACATTGGATACGCGTAAACCTGTAACTGGCTTTTTGGACGCTACCGGCACACGGTTGTACGGAAAGCTGACGTAGACCATAAAAGAGTGTTATATTACGCTTTGGTCACGTCTTTCGAATTACCTTGTAATTCGAGGGTGAATTGCCCCATTCTCGAAATGTTGAGTTCGGCGCATGACGTTTGTGCTATTTCACAGTGGCTGTGTGCTTTTAAAACTTTTGCGTTGAAAAACAAATCTAGTTGGCCTATATTCACCAATACAGTGACAGACTTTAGCTATGCCCAAATGCATGCGCTTTGCATTGGCTTTAACGGCTTTACGTCTATATTTGATTACCTGAATTGGTGTTACAACATATTATATGAAAACGTAGGACTTAGTGGTCCCAGAATTACAATTATAAATGTGTGCGCCAACCATTGTACAAAGTTAATAGTTGATCATGTTCACGGTAATGACACTCGAGTGAATAGGAAAAAACGAGCTAACGCAGTAATTAATTAGATATGTCTAGTATTCAACATCACAAGTATTATTGATATTGAACTATGGTTTAAATTATTTGCAACCGTATTGTTGTCGCCTTTTAAAACTAAATAGCTAAATTTCGCTCTAAGTTGTTTGCAAAACGATTGTAAAACAAAATACCTAGAATTTAAAGAGGAAAATAAAGACGGGGATGAAGGTTATAGAGATGATATAAGCCAAAAATTATACCAGTCTGAAACGAAAAAGCCGAAGATGTTTAATAGGTTTCTTAACTTAAAAAACATGGTTGAAACCGATATTTCGGCCGAAATATCCGAAGACGGGTTGGAAAAAAACGATTATTTTGATAAGGCCTATTTACAAGATTTTCTAGAAAAGTGTATACCGTTTACACCACTATGGGCTCCTGTTGTTAATTACAAACTTAACAACGGTGTAGAAGTACAAATGAGTAATGCGACAGTAGAATCTTGGTTTAAAACAATAAAGCATAATATGTTGCCTCATTCTAGAGAGAAATGCGGAAGATTTGTACACGCTTTGCGAGAGCACGTAGAACCCGTGTGTAAACAAGTAAATTTAAAATTAAGGAAAAAAAGGTTGACTCGTCCAGTTAACAAATTGGGTAATAAACTGCATAATGTTAACAACGGACAGACTAACAAGAGTTTTAAAAGACTCAAAGTAGAATCAGTCGATGAAACTCATATGAACGCTGTCGAAGAATGGGGAAAAAAAGAAAAACAACAGAGACATTTGCAATCCAAATTGTTCCGCCCATTCCAGTTAGAAAGGCTTAAGCTCGATAGCGCTACTGCTACGTTGAATAAAAATAATGTAGTTGTAAACATAGCTGAAAACGAGGAACAAAATAGTTTTCCATCATTATTGGATGAAAATGGTCGATCATTTAAAATTGATAAAAAGTCAGCGTCGATGATAACAGGAACTCCTCATAATCGATCGGTAGTTACTGACGACATTCCCGGAAAAGAACTATATCCCAACGGTTTACCGAAAGACTTGATGCATTACCGGAAAATTACCTTGGCTGGTAATAAAAGTTACGATATCGGAAAATATAGTTTTGTTTAAAAAAATGAAAATAATACTGGCTTGTTAAGCGACTTAGAGTTCCGGGAATTCGATACGTCGAGTGGACAAGCTTGGGTGTCTAATTTCGTTATTCATATCTGTTTGGCGACCTATGCGATAAGGCTAGCAAATACAAATACGCTTGTCTTGCCTTGTAATAAAGCAACGAAACTAATGTAGAAAAGAGACTATGGCGAAAAATGTAACGAAATAATTACTGTGAATAACAACAGTGTCATTATTATGCCTTGGCAAGTTGGCAAACATTGGATTGTCGTAATTGTAAATGTCGAAAAAGGGACGTGTTTAATTATGGATCCCCTCCCTTTTAACGATTCGTTAGAAAACGTGCCAACACAAAACGATGTATATAACTGTGGCGTGTTTATTATTTATTATGCATTTAGTTATATGAGTGGAAAACAATACGATTTGAAATTTGAATATTCCGCGTATAGAGACTTCTTGAAGAGCTTTCTGTTAGAAAACTCTGACGACATGACGAACGTGTGTCTATACTGCGGTCGGCATTCGGACAACCACTTTGAATCGAAATGTGTTTATACTAATTGGGTGAACTGTTCATCTTGTTTTCGTTGGGTTGCAGAAACATGTGTTTTAAAAAATAATAATGAGAAAACAATGGTCGATATAAACGATATTGTATTTCATTGCTTGCTGTGTCGTAAATAATTATAGCTGAAATTTTAATTTGGATGAAAAGTCTCCTTAAATATGTTTAATTGGCATCTATTTATTTATGACTTTTTTATATAATTAATGCTAATTTCCAATTTGTACTTAACGTTTAATACCCATCAAAATAAGTACGGTGTTATGTAACCACACCATTTATGTATAAGACGTACATCAATAACTTGTCTAAAAAAAAAAATCCGTACTTAACATTTTTAAAATATTTTTTTTTATCCAACTTTTGCGGTAAATAATAACAAGTTGCAGTTGTCACTATAACTGTTGTACTATTTAATTTGTCTAATATAACAGCTATTACAATACAACTAGTTTATAAATTTGCATAGTAGGTAACCAAAACCATTGTGTGTGTTAGCTCAAAGCATCTTTGTACAAAATAACACGATTTTAAAGATCAAACAAAAAACAAGAACATAATAGGTAAGTTTTTTTATATTTTTGCCGATGAGCAGTGTGCATTTATTTTAAAATACTATAGTTGTACATTTTGTTCACCCTACATTTTCATAACTTGAGAGTATTGAGGTATTGTGAGCGCTTATTAACGTAATTATGAGATTTCAATTAAGCGTTTTTTGTTTAACACTTAAGTTCATTTGTTATTTATCAACGGGCGTTAATAGATGTGACAATGACTACGAAGAATCACGTCCTAGAAGACATTATGAAACATTACATAGAAAGACTTTACTCAGACCAACTGCCTCCGAAATAACCATTGCGATATCGGAATCAAATGTTGCTCGAGGAATTCAAGTAAACACAAATATATTAGGGATTAGTAATATTTGTTAAGGACATATTTTTAAATTATTATAACTATGTGTATATTAAATACTAGTTAATGAACTATTAAAAAAATATTAATGTCTAGTTAGGTATCATTAACATTTGGTATCATCAATATATATCATGACATATTAAGTACAATTAAAATTAAATTAATCAATGCTCGTTATCTGGTAACCGGAGCGCCTATTATATAAAATAAAGGTTTATATATTTTTCTTATGCAAAGTTGAGTACAAACCAATCTTATAATTCATACAAACTAATATTTTAATTTGTTTCATTATACAGACACCATTTAGGTATTCTAACTTCTACTTTATTACTGTAAACAATTTTTTTATATCATTAATTATCTTAAAAAATAGCTCTTTTTAAATTAAGTTTATTTATAGTTACATTATTGGTATTCAAGTACTTCATTTGAGCAAAAATCATGTTGTCCGTCTTTTTATGAATAGGAACAATCATTGTTTATTTTAATGCATCGGAGACCGTGGCATTACTTGTACCAACTATATTAATGCTTTGTACAATTGGTAAAATTCATTTTACCTATACTGTTTGAGTAGCATATTTAGATTTTTTGGACCTAGTGCAGTGCTGTTGCTTAGTTTGTTTAAGATACTTGTAACTTCTCCAAACTTACGGTGTATAGTATAATGCTAATTTAAGTATGAAGACACTGTCATAATTATTTTTAGACATGTGTATAAAATTCGTTATAAGGAAAATTATTTTCTACCAGTCCAAACGTCACAAACTATGAGGAGTAGAATTTGAATACTGGTTAATAGTTATATCTTTTAGAGGAATAGCCTCAGCAAATCTCTCCCTCTAACTGAGAAAGAGTAGTTCATTAATTAGTCACCAAATATCCATTATATTATCGTTACATTACCCAATTTGGTAATTTTTGGTTGAAATAAACATATAAAAGACTATTCAAATCTACATTTTATTACTGTATGTTTTTAGGTTGAACACTTACAACAGTTCTTCTATGCTGGACAGTATCCAATTGATTTCATTCGGCTATTGGACACGTACAAGACATTGAGTTACGAGCCCATTCATTTCAGCAGTGGCGAGATAACAACACTGACCTCAAATTATAATGATGGATCAAAAACCAATAAAATTCTTACTCAACTTAAATTCTATCGTAAAATACAAGAAATACAGTGCACGAATAGTGTACTTTTGAAGTTTAGCATACCGAAAGTCGGAAGTTCTTTGGACGTTATTGTCAAATACGTGTACAATATGATAGAAATGTCGTACAGAGGGAAATTCGTAGTGAGCGCATGGCTTTGGGAACTGTATAGACAACTATTAGACATGAAAAATTTGATGTTAACAACCCAAAAGTTTCTAGAAGAACACTTACCGGAACTTATCGTTACCCTACAAAAATTGATAAGGTTGTGTCGTAAAAATAAATACTTAATGAAAAGGTTTGATTACACTTTAAATGATTACAACGAGAAATCTAGTCGACTTCTACAGTTTGATACATTTTTAAAAATGTATGACGAAAAATATCAACGATTTCCAGAGAAGTCTGAAAGTTATAATTTCCCTATTGTTGTCAACCATTTGTTGATGACTAAAATGTTTTGGTTTCCACAAATTTTCGACGAAATCTCTGGCCTTGCCTATAATTGGAAAATTACACACGATATATTGGAAAAGGAAATGACAAATATCAAAAGTGAACTCCGGAAGGGAGAATGTACGACACAGCCGTTCAGATACTCAAAATATTACGAATTAGTTTTGGATGTCCTTAAGGCAAAATGGTACAGTTTTATTTGGGTTCATTTACATTTATATCAAAAAACAGGAAGTGACGGTAGATTTGAACATAATTATTTTATAAATAATTTAAGTCAAGCGCTATTGTTTGTTTATATTGATGACCAAACCTTTAACGAAGTCCTTAATTTGTTAAGTGAAACATACGAAATAAACGACGAGAAGATAAATAATATTACAAAAATATTAGCAAAGGAAGTAAACCGGATTCTCCAAAATTATCCTGGGCGAAATCAAGAGGCAAAAATTGATGATAAATACGTTGAACGAAATGATAATAGCTATTTTGAACTTCTTCAATGTAATAGAATAAATTTTGAACGGTTCTTTCGTGAAACTAAAGACATGTATTACCCAATTAATTTAAAAATTCTATCGTTTTTTATGATAGGAAACAAAACCATCGACTTTGTATTCCCGAATATATATCAATGATACATGGAATATCTGTAGAAAAACACACATTTGAATATAGTGAATATTAACTAATTACTAAATATAATGCTCATTAAACATATTAAAGAAATGTATGTACGCTTCTAAATGACATGGTATTTTGATTTGCCAATTTTTATTTGATTCATAATGAATAATTGTTTTGTATTTAACTGATGACTTTTTAAAAATTATAAAAAAAAAATGATTATAAATTTACTATAGGCAAAAGAAAGAGGGATTGCATAAGGTTATACTATACACAATATATTCGCATCAAGGCTTTTGGAAGTGATTAAACCACTTTCAAGTTAAATACCCTCCTTGAACAACTATGCTAATTTATAGTGGTACCAATGCATAGCTGTTAATACTAGTGTATAATTGAAACAGCGAACTAATCTTACCAAACCAAGTAAATTCATGGACACGATAAGAAGAAGACTGTACTAGTTCGGACTGCACTGGCTTAAACTGTGCATGGTTTGACTGTACTGGTTAAGACGGTATTTGATGAATACTCTACAAGTTTTAACTACACTAGTTTGGAATGTACTGGTTACGGTTGTGCTGGTTAACACTGCGATTGGTTTGAATTAACTATACTTAAAGTATAGTTAATGACTATACTTTAAGTATAGCCGTGTGTTCATTTAAAGGGTTATATGCAAAATATCAAGTTTGTAAGCTCACAATAGTCTTCAAAATCTACACAGATACGGTTTGAGCCACTTTTTGGGTTTTTTTATTACAAAAAAAAAATTCAACCATAGATTTTTTAACATAAATATCCAATTTTGTTTTTTATACACGTTATAGGTATATGTTAGACCTATCTTAAGTCTAATTTTCAGCGTCTAATCCTAAGATAGTAAGATTAAACCAAAAAACTTCTGTGTCTTGATTTTTAAATTCGATGCGTGGCTGGGAAGGTATTTTTTTTTTGTGACGTGTTTTCATTATTTTTTATATGTATACGATTCGCTGAAAATAATGTAGTTAAATATTTTTTGTAACGGATGAAAATGAAAACAATATATTAAAAACAGTCGATCAAGTTTAATCGTATATATTTCAGTGTACCAAAAATAATTGTTTTAGCACATTATTTTTATTTTATGCTTTATCAAAATTTGTATTTTTACCGTTTTCAGATTAGCACCAAAATGTATAACTAAAAGTACTTTTATCTCTTTAATTTATTCGATTCCATAATATTTAGAAGGAAAACTTATGTTTAATAATAATATATTTATTATCGTTTAAAATAGTTCAACTTTTTTATCGTTAAAATAGCACACCAAATTTAATCGTAAATAAAATTGGAATAATGCAAGCAATAGTTTTACATGAGTTGTAAAACCAAAAAGCAATACACGCAGTTCAAACTCTGATTTAGTGTACTGTAAATATATAATCTTATTGAAAAAACCGTTTGTCAATAAAACCACGTATGGTAAATTGCTAACCCAGCAAAATATAGGTGTTTAGATTTTAGTGTTTCGGTAAAATATAAATCTATTTATGAATTGCGAGGAACCATTTTTAAAGCAAGTTGATCGCATAGACAATTGTCTAACCTGTGTTATAGTATAGTTCTTTCAGTCGTACACAACAAAAATAAAGTCCAAACAAACAAGGAGATTTATTTTTTGAAATTATATAAAATAGCAATGAAGGGAAAAATGTTGAAATCATATTGAACTCGTAAAAGAATCGAAATAGCCTATAAATGTGTCTAAAATCGTGATTGTGCAGAAGATAGGGTGCAATTGACCACGAGGGTCAACTGTGCTAAAATTTATAAATACCTGTGATTTTTTTTGCGAGCAATGTAGTTTTAAACAATCGAATTAAATGACACATTTGAATAGGACTGAATACTTCATGGTAACCTAAAACAAAATTACTAACTTTTTTTTTAGATGTCTGAAATTTTCAAACATGTTACCTACTACAGAATGTATTTGCGTTACTTAGTTCAATACTGGCGAACAATAATAATTACATTTGATAGAACAGTAGAATTACCAAATTTTTGAAAAGTTTTACCATATTATTGGTTTTTTTGTAATACTCAAAGCATTCTTTAATTTTTATAAGTAGAATATTGTTATTGTTTAAATGATAGTACTTTTAACAAAATAGCCTATTCCATCAGATTGCTAAACGACTGTTTAAACATAATTTTTTTTTTGTAGCTACAATAAAAACAAAATGTATTTTCTTCAAGTTGTTTTATTGCCAAAGCTGTTTTTGCACTGTAATTTCATATTATATACATTACACCGGATAGGAGTTTAAACTATGTGTATCTGGTTTAATGGTTTCACAACCATTCGTAAACCTAACTCTTGCGTTATTGACATTTTGCGGTTTAATTTTAAATGCAAGTCTACCGATAAAATTCGTACCTTACCTAAGTATCTATTATCTTCTGTATCTCATCCACTTGAGGTACCTATCTTAATTTTAGTTAAACTGTTTAAATTAACTAATCCTCCAATATTAATTATTATATTATGGTTTAAAGCTTTTTTTTAATAACAACCATACATACCGTAATATTTCCCATACATAATAATACAAACTAAGTATAATAATTTTCTGACTGTAAAAGACGTGCAAAATTATTTTAACTATTTTTTCAATTAACTTTTTAGTATAAATTAATTAATACAATATAATGTTACAAAAAAAAAAAAAAACGAAAACGCTTAAAAAGAATCCTAGATTATAAAAAAAATATATATATATTTTAATTTTGAACATAATAATTTAATAACGAGTATCTACGAGTAATCCTGTAAAAGGTTTCATGTAATTTATCAACATACAATCTACCTAACATAGGGGAGACCGGGGCTAGTTGGGTACCGGGGTAAGTTGACCAAGTCGATTTTTAAAATCGAGTGTTTAAGTTGGACACACTGCATCAACAGCATTGTATTATGTCCATCGTTGTTTATCACTGTACAATTCGTAGTGATTATATGATTTTTCCTTAATCTTATAATCAATAAATATTGTTATCAGCTGTCGTTTTTTTTTTTAACGTTTTAAAAATTTCGTTTTTACCGAATTAAATTGTTTTTTAAACATTTACAGCAGAGTAAACCAACTGTACAAGGTATGTAAAATACGATTCAGCTATTTTTTAATAATTATATTGTCCCTGATGTTCATAATTACTTAAAAAGTATGAAAAAGCAATTTGGGGCTAGTTGGTCTTCTAAAACTGGGGCATGTTGTCTTGTACAATTTTTTTTAAATAATATTACTAACAATTTCTATTTGTTCATATTATAGATGGTTCGAAATTACAAACGCAAGTCTGATAGAGGACGTGTATCAGAGGATGTTATGAAACGTGCAGTTGAAATGGTTTTGAGTGAAAAGTATTCACGTAAGAGTGTGTCAGATGATTTTAATATACCTATTAAAACTTTATCTAGTTACTGTAAAAAATATATTAATAACTCTGAGATTTTTAATAATTCTATTGGATATACAAAACCAAGACAAGTTTTTTCGATTGTCGAAGAAGAAGAATTAGCAAAATATATTAAAAAAGCTGCTGATATTTATTTTGGCTTATCCCCGAAAGAAGTAAGAAAATTAGCGTTTGATTATGCTAGCTCTTTAAATAAAACTAACATCCCAAAAAATTGGTCTGAAAATGAACTTGCTGGAGAAGATTGGTTCACTGGTTTTAAAAAACGTCGCCCTGACCTGTCGATACGTATACCAGAAGCCACTAGTTTAGCCCGCGCATCTAGTTTTAACATAGTTAATGTTAACTCGTTTTTTGTTAATTTAAAGACCGTACTAAATCGTTACAATTTTGGTCCAGGTGACATATATAACATGGATGAGACGGGTATAACCACTGTCCAAAAACCAAACAAAATTGTTGCACGTAGAGGTTTTAAACAAATTGGCAGAATAACGTCGGCAGAAAGAGGCACACTTGTGACGTTAGCCTTTGCAGTTACAGCATTAGGTAATAGTGTACCACCATACTTCATTTTCCCAAGAGTACATTTTAAAGATCACTTCATAGCTAAAGGACCATTAGGTTGTGCAGGTAGTGCTAATCCCTCGGACTGGATGAAAGAAACTCACTTCATTGATTATTTAAAACATTTTGTTAGTCATGTCAGGTGTTCAAAAACCAAACCTGTTCTTTTGTTATTAGACAATCACGACTCACATTTATCTATAGAGGACCTGAATTACTCTAAAGAAAATGGAATTACAATTCTATCATTTCCCCCTCATTGTTCTCATAAATTACAGCCCTTAGATAGGAGTGTGTATGGACCCCTGAAAAAATATATTAGTACGGCTTTTGACTCATGGATGGTGAACAATCCTGGTAAAACCATGACGATTTATGAAATTCCTGAAATGGTGAAACAGGCATTGCCATTAGCAGCTACACCAAATAATATTACAGCTGGTTTTACAGTCAGTGGTATATATCCCTTTAATCCTCAAATATTTACAGACATAGATTTTATGCCAAGTTATGTGACAGACCGGCCTTTAAACATTGAAACTGAAAATCAACCAGACCCTATAAACCAGCTACTCAAGAACTAAACAAAGATCTTGATCTAATGCCTTCTACATCCAGTCAGGTGTATAATATTCAAGAGTTAGAATCTAATAGCCCTGTTATTCAACAAGTTGAAAATATTGTAGTGTCAATACCAGCAGTAGCTTCTACTTCAAATACTCAAAATGAAAAAATTATACAAAAATCTCCTGAAGACATAAGACCACTGCCTAAAGCTGGTGCTAGAAAACAAGGAAGACAACATCCGAGAAAAAGGTGTACGGCAATTTTGACTGATACTCCAGAAAAGGACAAGCTAGAAGCAAGAAAAAAATGTCAAGTAAAAAAAACATGCGATAATAAAAAAGTTAAAAAAAAATTATTTCAAATAAAAAAGAAGACACAAATAAGTACTGCAAATAAGAATTCTAAGAAAAGAAGAACAAGTTCAAGTGACGATGAAGATGCATATTGTCTAGTGTGCTGCGAATCTTACTCATCTAGTCGGGCCAATGAAAAGTGGGTGTCATGTGTTAAATGCAAAAAATGGTCCCACGAAGATTGTACAACCGGCGAGGATTATTATATTTGTCATCATTGCGAATCGGATGACGAATCATTTTCAGATGAATAAATTTTAAGTAATTTTAAACTACCTTTTACCTGTTAATTAACTGTGATAATTTTTAATATTTGATCTCTAAGAAGAGTTCAGTTTTAAATTTTAAATGTTTGATCTTGATTATGTTTAACATTTTTGATCTCAAAGGAGAGATAAGTTTTAAATTTAAAACGTTTGATCTTGATTATGTTTAAAATTTTTGATCTCAAAGAAGAGATTAGATTTAAGTTTAAAATGTTTGATCTCAAAGGTGAGATAAGTTTTACAGTTGTTATTTTATTAAATTACTTGTTATATTAATTATTATGTTTGATATGTTTTAGAAATACCCTTCGTTAAATAATAAATAGGGAGATTTGAATATATTTGTATTATAATTTATAATGTTTGACTTCAAAGGAGAGATAAGATTTTTCACAATATGGTTATTTTTAACTTTAAAAATACTGTTGCTTCATTAATTATTATGTTTGTTATATTTTAACAATACCTAAATTTAAATAAATGAATAAATAAGGAAAAACTGATTATATTCATGTGTGTGGCAACTTGCCCCAGTGGTCATGTCAACTTGCCCCGTACACGGGGTAAGTTGGCCTGATTATTTTTTTTTAAGTTTTATTTTTTTTGTCAATTATAGATTAATTATTAAGATGGCAATTTAAATTAGTTATGTAGCTTACAAGTTAGTGAACTGTTAGGTGTATTTTGAGCTTTAAAGTCATAAAACTGAATAAATTAAAAATACAAATGTTAAAAGTGAGCCAACTAGCCCCGGTCTCCCCTACCCTCCCACCCTCTCATAAATTGTCATTTATACGGAGCATTGAGTTACAGGTTTTGCACCAAGATATTTGTTAGATGGTACAGACGTTACAGTTTTACCAAGTGAACTAAAAGAAAAAAAACAAATGGATTGCATAAGAAATGGAAAAATAGCACTTGAAAATAAAGAAAAAACTCATAATTATAATAAAAAACTGTTTGTCAAAAATCGTAAATACGTTGAGTTTAAAGAAGGAGATGTAGTGTACGTAGAAAATGGAAATAAACTAAACAGAAAAAATTGGATGAACTGAAGATTGGACCATAAATGATCATAGAGAAGGTATCAAACTCAATCTATAGGATTAATACAGGTCACAAGAAATTAGAATCAAATCAATTCCACATAACAAAACTTGTTCCAGTCCCTACATTAGATGATAAAGCTGAATACAACGAAAATTTTGTTGAACATTTTCTTCCCCAGGGGGATGAAAAACTATTGAGATGTAAAGAAAATGTATTTCTATAATTTGAATTTCGCGGATAAAGTAATAACTTGATAGAGAGTTTAAGGTTAGTTGAAACGGGTGTGATTACACGGGTCATGAGTGATAAGGAAAATGAAATGTATTTCGTTTGGTTGCAATATTTACAATATTATTATTTACCTGCTTAATAAAAAATACTGTAATACTTATTTATAAAGCAAAAAGAACCACAAAGGAATAAATTACATAAATTAACTTTTATTGTCGTTTCGTTGTTTTTCAGGTTAGAGTTGTTTATATAATGTAATTGAAATAATGAAAATAAACTTTGTTTTTCAGAGCAACGAAATACTGTTATTTATTATATATTACTTGGTCAATTCCTAAATAAAAGAAACCTTATATATATAATAAATATATAGTCATCGATTTTTTAGTTCTTATGGAAACGATATTTTATAGAAAAACATAAGTCGTTAATGAAAATAATACATTTGTTCGGTGTTACGTATTGTTGTTGAAGTTGAATGTAATTTTTTGTTTCGTGTATAAAATGTTAGGTAAGCTTACTCAAATTGTTGGTTTAAACTTAATAAAGCGCAGACCATCCTTCATTCGACCGAGTAACGTTTTTCACAGCAGAAAAAATGATTGCAAGGAATGTGTTTTAATAGGTAAGCATATCATGTTGATATCGAATGATATTTATTACTTACAATGAACAAAAACTGACAATCATATATACTAAAATAAGTTTTTATTTTATCAAGTAATGATGTACATGTATTCGACCGATTAATTTTTACACAGGCGGCGGTACAGGCTTCATTGGCAGTCGTCTGAGAGCGTTGTTGAAATTTGAAGATTATGACATCAAAGTAATATCAAGAATAGGGACAGGAGAAAAACACATAATAACATGGGTAAGGTTATTTGTCTTAGCACGCGTTGACAATACTTAATTGGTTGGTATTCAGTGTGATTTAGCAAGGAACGGTCTTCCGGAAAACACAGTATGCGTTATAAATATGACGGGCGAAAAGATCATGAATCCATTGAAAATTTTCAATCAGAAATTTAAAGAAGAAATATGGGTTAGCCGAGTGGGGACAACTGCGTTTCTCACGGATATTATAAACAGATCGGAATACAAACCTAACGTTTTTATTAACGTTACGAGCACTGGTGAGTTTTACTTGGTCAGTTAAGACTTTGGGAGAATGTGCAAGACGTCAAGTTGAAGTTCATCCGCGGACTAATCATCGCAGGCTGCAATACTGGGCACATATAAAAAATTGTTTTTTTTCCGTAGATATTTATCCGAAAGATGTGATCAGTTCGGAGTTCTGTCCTTGTGTGAAGGTTCCCAATAATTTTTTTTCCGCCCTGTGGTATGACTGTGAAAAAGCAGGCAGTCAAGTTTCCACGGAAGTCCGACATGTCATAATCAGATCAGGTTAAATAACATTTCAATATCGTGCATAATATTTGTATTGTCTCAGAAATTACAATAGTGGCAACACCGTCGGGTACTCTGCCTATTACCCTATTTACCTTCGTCTAATTGATTTATAAAAATCGTTTCGTTTGGTTTCCTAATGCAGGCACTGTATTGGACAAAAATGGCGGATACGTCGGGAATTCATACATTCCATTTTATTTGGGCCTTGGAGCGACAATCGGTGATGGATGCCAACATCATCCTTGGGTACACATGGATGATTTGTGTGGTATCATTATGCGTAGCATGAAATGTGCTTCTATCTGTGGTGTATTGAATGCTGTATCGCCTGGAGTATGAGCTTAAAGAAGTTAATTTATGTTGATTTTTATAAAAATAATCACTATCCTATTACACAGATAATAACCAACCGACAGTTGTCCGAAAGTTTGGCTAACACATTAAACCGAAATGTCAAATTCCGTGTATCTCAAGGACTGTTGGGTTTACTTCTGGGAATCGAAAGAACGACTTGTCTTTTGGAAGACAGGCAAGTTCTACCGGAAAGGGCGAGACAGATAGGCTGTGAATTCTATTTTTGTGATATAAACGAAGCTATGAAAAATATTTTACGTTGCTGACGATGGTGAAAATCATTTACATCAGCAGCTAAAACATGTATTGTTTAGTTACTCTTTTAAACTTAAAAACTATATTTGTTTCATTAAAAGTATTACGTCATTAACATGATTTGTTATTATCTTTATATAGATAACAAAACCTAGACAGTGTCGACATATTTTAGGCGCGTTATATATTCATTCGTAAAAATACTAGGTTTACCTTTTTGCCTTGATTGCTATTGTAATTATTAAATATTTATATAAAGCTAGAAACTTTACTATTTTATTTTCAAGAAGCTATTCTTCTATTGTGTTCTAAAACCTTTGTATTCATTTGCGAATTACTTCCTTAATTTGCAACAAAACTCAGTGGCGTTTTATCGTGAGACTTACAGCCGGATTCATAGATTACTCTAAAGAAAACCTTAAAAAATACTTAATAAAACAAATTCTTAGTACATTTTTAAAAACAGTATTCATAGAGAAAACTGTAGTAGGTATTCTGCAAATAATATAATAAGGAGCGTATTTACCCAAAGGCTGTAGCTCTGGGCGGCAAAATTTTGAGTAATAAATTGGTGATTTAAAAAAAAAATTATATACAATATTATATTTGATTACATTAATTGTTTTACCAAACAGTAATTTATTTCCAATGAATATTTTTGTTCTTAAAACGCGTATAAAATAATATAGTAGTTAAAGCTGTATGCCTGTATACCAACGTAGAACACAGTACTCAGACAGTCGTCATCAGGTATCTTGGAACCGCCCAGGCTACAAATGAAATTCTTCTAACAGTAGAAATTGATATTGAATCTGTAGTTAGTTTGTATAGCGCCTTACACCATGTTAGAAATTGAGACTTATGTTTGATGTATATGAAAATTTGGCTATAGAAAAGTCAGGCTTAACTTATTCGACTAGTAAACGAAAAAAGAAAGTTACAATATGACAATAGTCTTGGAGAAGTTGTAAATTGTTATGGTCGTGAATCATTAAAAGTGAATACCTACTTTGTTATTTTAGATGCTGAATAAATTGTAAAAAACTTTAATTTTTTAAAATTATTATCACTCCATAAATAGAGATTTTTTTAATTATTTTGCACGAAAATTCGAATTTGATCAGTTTTAAATATTTCAAATATTTTTTTATCATAAAATCAGAAACTCAAATCAAATATTTTCGTCTAAAAACGGGAATGGGCCGAGATTTTTTTCTAATTTTATTTTAGTAATGCATTTTTTTTTAAAATCTGATGAAATGTTTAATTTTAGTTTTTTTTAATTAAAAAAATAAAACATGTCATGGGAAAATTTGATTTTTGCCTATTATAGAAGTGAAAAAAAAAATAAATCTCGGCCCATTCCCGTTCTTAGATAAAAAAAAATTGATTGAGCACGTCATTTTATGATAACAGTTTCAGAATTTCAAAACTGGTCAAAATCGATATAATTTGTAAAATTTGATTTCATCAAATAAAAAATACGTTTTGTAATTTTGTAAAAAAAAAAAAATTGTTAAAATTTGCCGCTCTCCAAATGTTGCCTCTCTAGGCCAGGCCTATAGGGCCTGTGCATAGTGAAGACGGGGAGGTCACAGGCGAAAGAAATGAACCCCAGCCACCCCATGATGTTGCCACGATGGCTCAGCCAATAATGTATAAATTCTTCAAAGACCAAAGATGTGAATTAAAAATATGTTAAAAGACTATCCTGCCATCCTACACATTTTTAAAAAGTAAAATACTCCGATGCCATCGAGTGCTCAGGTCGAAAGATTTTCATATGCAACTATGACCACTACGCCCAAGAGGAACCGGCTAAGCGTTGAAAAATTTGAAAAAAGAGTAATCATGAGGGCGAACGCATAGACCTTGTAAAAACGTACAGTAATAATTTTTTTTTTCGAACCCGAAGGTTGGTTTACAATTCCAATTCTCCATTCTGACCGTCTGCTCGCCTTTTTTTTATGTTCTTTAAAAGTTTTAATTCCTGCGTCACATTTAATTTGTCCGATATAAGAGTTTCGAGGACGTCCTGCAGTTTTCTTTCCTTCTATCATACCTTCTAATATCATATTATGCAACTCTTCTGGGTCTCTCAGGGCATGTCCAACCATTTTCCAACGCCTTACTCTAATCGCATCTATCAGTGTACGTTTTCTCTCACAGTTCTAAGTATTTCTTCGTTTGATTTTCGCTCTACCCAACTTATCCATTCCATACGCCTCCAGCACTACATCTCAAGAGCTTCTAGTTATCCGCCGTAATCATAGATAAAAGTTGTGATTACGAATGTAATCATAACCGAAACTGTTATTATGAGTGTAATCGTAATCGTAATCATAACCATAAGTGTAATCGTAATCGTAATCATATAAAAGTAAAATGGCAAGGAGAATTTCTCGAACACTGTGACACACCAACATACATAAGTGTGACATTAGACGAAACTTACCTACGGGTCATTCTAAGCGAAACCACCTAAATGGGTGTGGCGTCAGTACTTCAAAAATGTTTGAAATTTTTATCACACATTATTTATAGGCCCTTAATGACAAAAAAATAAAAATTAGTAAATAAAAAACTATTCAATTTATTCCTTAGTATAACGGTATCAAAATGCAATATTATAGATAAGGCGCATCTAAATTAATTGTGATCATATTTTGTGCTAACGATATTCACTATCTTACTGCTTTCACAGCAGTATTTGGTTTATTATTAGTTTTTACTTTAAAGGTAAATATGAAAGCATACATATTGACAGCGATAAAATTGGTTTTATATTTTTACTCTCATTAACTGATTACACTCGGTCATCATTCATTAGCTATTACCTACCTAAAAGAAACTTTAAAATGCAATAAATTATTGTGACCCCTTAGAACATAGAAACACATCGTCAAAGTGTAGCAATACAATTGTAAGACCTTTAGTTAAATATATTGTAGTTGTAGGTACATATTTTATTCTAAAAATCGTATTTCTTTAAAAGCTGCAACAAGTATTGTTTTTTTTTAATAATGAAGTGCTCTATCGGTTTAGCTGTTGAAGAACAATGCCATAAAAGTGCATACGGCATTACTAATATGACGTTATTAAATTTTTGGGACATATCCGATGAAAACCAGCAGCTACTTCGTCATAGAACGAATCTGAATTATTCTATAACGACAATTTTTGAGTACCATAAATCAAAATATATAGATACATTTTTTTTTTTGTGTTGTGGTTCAGTAAAGTAAGCAGTTATCAACTATTGACTATCAACCACTTATGTTTGAACCCGTAAATAATATTTTTAAAAACTTAATTGGTTCAAAGCTGATATTATTAAGAGGGCGTCACACCACTTTTTTTCGGCGCGTAAAACATGTCTCAGGATATGCAATTTTCTGGGAAACCGAGTGGGTTTAGCGTATATTTGCTTATGAACAAAATTAAAGATTAGAAGTTTATCTACATATTAACATAGGTTTTTTTCGATTATGTTACTAGGAACCGAGTTATAGATCTTTGAAGTTTTCATTTTTCAATAGCGTATATCTTCGTTTTAAAACATTTTATCGAAAAAAACCTCTGTTAATATGTAGATAATTTCTTCATATTTAATTTTTTTAATAGGCAAGTATGCGCTAAAACCACTCAGTTTCTCAGAAAATTGCATATCCGGAGACATGTTTTAGTCAAATTTTAGTAGTTTTTTAGTGCCAGTTTGTGGCGATCCTAGCGGCGACTTTAAAACACATGCGGTGTGACGCGGCGGCGGCAGTGGTGGTGGGGGCAGCTCCTAGCGGGTTGCAATTCACGTGAACACGAAGGCGGCGGCCGCCGACCACGACCAAAACCGGTTTTAGGCGGCAGATAATAATATTACATATTTCCTCTTATCTACAATAGTTTTTTTATTCTTTATATTTACAGGAATTTCCAAATCTTTAGGAATATACTGTAAAATGTTGTTAATTTCAATTAATAATTGATCGGGTCTTATAACTATTGGATGCAACTGGTTGTTGTGAGACAAAAGAATAGCATTTGTTAGCTTGTTTATACTATTTTGTAGTATAAATATGCTACTCTCTATAATTTCAACTAATTTGTCCACATTTTTAAGACCCGACATTTTATTTTGCAGGTCATTTATATTACTTTGCAAAATATTCATATTATTATTTACAATATCCTTATTAGAGTTAAACGAGTTAATAGAATTATTAAAATTTGATATTAAGCTTCTTACGATAGACACTTGGTTCTGCGTTATTTTAGCAGTATCTTCTTCTTCGTTGTTTTCGAAATGGTCGATAAAACTATCATACCTACGAACATCGTCGGCATCGGCCACTCCAATTGTCCACTTCCAAACCCGTCCAATCGTATCGACTGATTTTTTCAGTCTTCTGTGACCACCCAAACGTCTTAAATCCCACATATCTGAAGACAATGTGTCGAATGCGATTTTAAGACGTTTATGCGAGTCGTAATCAACGTAAGAGCTGTTGATTTTGATGAAATCACGTAGCATGCATTCGATTTCATGGGCCTGAATCTCGAACGTTGTTAAATTAATATAAGCGTTAAAATGCCAGAAACTTTGAATAATTTTTGTGTCGCCCAACACTTCGTACTGCAACCCCGGATTATCTTGTAAATAGTCGATGGAAAAATAATTAGAATCTGTCGATTTAATTGTTAAACTACCAACGATAAAAGTCCAAAATATAATTTGTACTTTAAAATACATATTAGTTTAAAATATTAATTTATATATTTAAACACAACGACAGCTAAAAAATGAACACGCAATACAAAAAAGACAAACTATTACTCAAAAATACTGAGTGAACGAAAAACAAGAAAACCACAATCCTATATATATATGTAATCGAATATGATAATAATATAGGTATAATGTATTTAATGGAATAGTATCATAAAATAATATATCATAATAATTAATTATCAAACGGGGACAACGTACACAAATGAAGAGCTAGTCCAATTTTTGTACTTTGGCACTTCGAACGTTTGACAAATTCGCTCTTCAAATATTATATCAACTAAATACAAGGTACATGGGACCTGGGACAGTAGTGATATAATATTATGTGTATTTTGTACTTTGGTCAAAGATATGCACATACATATACACGTGTATATTTGATTATTGAAGAAAAACACAAAATTAAATATAAGTAATATCAAATTTTTAATCGTTGTTAACATATTTGATAAATTTATGATTCCACAAAACTCAAAAGTCGCCAAACCCATATCACATAGTACTAGAGTCTATATAAATATAATGCTTCATGACAAATTCTCTCTTATTACAATTTACGACTCTAATAATCTTGCAGTAGGTATTTAATAATAATGAAAATATGAAAACAAAATACTACGTTCACGTTTACTTTTTATTTTGTTACAATTTTAAATTATTATGGATAATTCGAAACACAGTTGGAAAGAAAATAATAGATCTCGTGAATCAAAACAAAAATAAAAAAAAAGGAAATTACTCGGAAGATTGTTAAATTCATTTAGACATAAAAAAAGTAAGTTAATTATAATTTGTAATATGAAAATTAGTGTATTATACTACATGTTGATTATAATTTTATTATTGAAAATGGACCTAAAGGGTAGCAGACAACGTGCAACATTCTCATTCAGAAACTCATCGCAAGCAACAGAATATGACAGGTAATACTTTGTAGCGAATTCTAGCAAAATAAAAAATTATAATTTGATCTGGTTTTATATTTTTAAGTGGAAGCATAGACTCACAGACTTACACCGACGAAAGTACATATATTGAACCTCAAACAACCATGACAGATAAACCTACGCCGTATGTTACATTAATAATAAATGCAAATTTCAAGACGGTTTTCTTCAATTTAAGAACTTTTAAGAAATTTTAATAAATGTTTTTTTTAGATCGAGTCAAAAAATTTTAAGGGGAATAGACAAAGAACAAGATCCAAATAATCAGTCAGTGGACGTTGATTATTCCGAGTCAGAAACTTCAAGAGATATCGATGATGTTCGGCGGTAATCGCATACATATATTTATACATAATTTGTTAAATCTTTAAGTAATATAAAATAATACCTTTCCTGAATTTTTGTAATAGCGATAACATAAACGCACTGCCATATGGTGATGGAAATGCGACCCCTGAAGCTGGTTACTCAGTCTACGAACCTACCGCGTAATATTCACGAATATACAATTAAACATTTTTTTTATAGTTAGTTTTTCATTAATAAAAAAATACTAATTTTGTAGACCTAACATTGGAGATTTTGATTTTGGTGAAGGGACAAGTAGCACATATCCAACATTGACAGTCGAAAAGACAGTATCGGATGCCCCAGAGTAAGTACTTTTAATAGTATTTGTTAATACATTTGCAGATATAAAATGATCCTTTTTTCAATTAAATTTACTTTGGCTTTAGATCAAATAAAGAGTACAAATATTCAGGTCGACGGATCGTAGATTTTGGTTATATAATCGACCTAATTAAAAGTTGTGTTCATGAAGGAGGGTTTGGTTGTTCGTTTATAAGTATGCGATTCGGTGAAATAAATTATGGACTTCGTTCTGTATTTATATTTATTTGTGAAATGTGTAATTTGTCTATAAGAATTGAGTCTGAAAAGGTAAATCCCGAAAGATATATATCAATTAATGAGGCAGCTGTAAGCGCAACAATATCTGTTGGTATTGGATATTCCCAAATTTCAGAGGTGTGTGCTACTATGGATATACCTTGTATAGCAGCGCGCACACCAAGTACGTTCCGTTACGTCACGTCACTATACGTCCTGGAGACGGTTTGGAACGTGACGTGACGGAACAGTGCAAAGTCGCACACTAGATGCGTCTCCTTCCGTCTGGTTTGTGTTGCCTTCCCAGAGAATCGTCATTCTACGTTTGAATTTGTTGCTGTGCGATGTGTGTTTTGTTAATTTTAATATAGTTTTTAAAGTGAATTTCGTTATTAAAACTTTACCATGGACTTTTCTTCCGACGAGAAACTTATTGTAATGGCGTGTATTGCAGAAGAGGAAGAGAAAGAAAAAAAAAAAGGTTATGGGTCCATAACATAAATTTAAAAAGAAATGAGCACGGAGAATTCCATACTCTATTTCCAGACCTTCTTCAGGATGAAGCAAAATTTTTTAAGTACTTTCCGGATGGGTTCGCAAAAGTTTTTTGAATTGCTTAACATGCTGCCGCAACTACAAAAGCAAGATACAAATTTCAGACGCTGTCATCAACCGTCGTCCGTCAATTTTGCCCTAAACAGCAACCTATCCGTCTCCTAACGTCTCCGTCATGCGTCCAAGCGCGACGTGACGTAACGTAACGTAACCTATGTGCGCCTGTTCATAAGAGTTTATAATAAGCAAACCTTTCGGCTCAACGGAAGCTGCGACGTAACGTGACGGAACGTATTTGGTGTGCGCGCTGCTTATGTCTTCAACAAAATTTACGGAAGCTCAGAGGGATATGAGTGAAAAAATCCATAAAATAGCCGAACAACAAATGGCAATAGCTGGAAAAGAAGAAAGACGATTAGCTCTTGAAAGTGGATCCATAGATAATGATAGAATACCAATGTGTACGGTCGTGGCAGATGGTCAATGGAGTAAACGTAGTTATAAAACTAACTATGATGCACTATCAGGAGTGGTAAGAAGTTCTAGCTTACTAGTGGCTAGAGCCTAGCCTAATAGTTATTATTAATCATTGTATTATATTAATTCGGTATTAGAAGCGTCTAATTATACAAATTAAAATTGTATTTACAGGCAACAATAATTGGTTACAAATCAAAATTAATTTTATTTATTGGTATAAGAAATCGGTATTGTTGTGTTTGTCAAAGAGCAAAAAATAAACACGTCCCAATTCCAGAACTTGCATGTTTTTTGAACTGGAAAAAAGGAGCTACCAGTATGGAAGCTGACGCAATTGCCGAAGGTTTTAAATTAAGCGTTAGTTTACATGGATTAAAATATAATAAACTAATCGGTAAATATAAATGTTTAATAATAAATATTAAATTTCTAAAAGGCGTTCACAGATGTTGGTAACTATATTTAAAATAAAATAAATTATTCTATTAGGCGATGGTGATTCAAGTATCACTAGAAGATTAGCTGAAATTATGCCATATGGACCATCTTTAATTATTCAAAAAATTGAGTGTCGTAATCATTTGTTGAGAAATTATGGTACTAAATTATCAGCATTAACAAAAAATACGAAAATTCCTATACATTTAAGAAAACATATAAAATCAAATTTATTACGATTTAGAAGTGCCATTACAAAATCAATTGAGTACAGGAATTCATTACACAATCAAACAGAAGCTCAGAAATGCATGGGTAATTATTCAATTTTTTGAAGTTTCATTTTCTTTGTAAATTTTTAATTGATATAACTCATTTAATTTATAGGCCAAAAAAAGGATATTGCAAACAGCTATCGGCATATTTTGGGAGCACACGATAGATGTGAAAAATATTTCTGTACAGGGCCCAAACCTAATGAAATTAATTTAACTGTGGATGCTGAGAAATGTAATTTAACTGCTGAGTTTCGTCAAATATTAAATAGATTAGTCATTCATTCCGATAGTTTGCTAATGAATGTGGATAATAATGTTTGTGAGCAATTTAATAGTATTATTAACAAGCACTTAGGCGGGAAACGTATAAATTTTTCGCAAAGGCAATCGTATAACACACGCGTAGAGGCAGCTGTGATATCCTATAACACATCTGGACAGCTTTTACGGGCTATTCACAAAGGTGTCGCCAATGAAATAAGTCCGGGTGAGATTTTTTTTTTTTAAATTATTTATATCTAAATTTAGCTAGATTAATAACAAAATTCATTATACTACACAATAGGAGAAGTTGGAAAAACATTTCTTAAAAATAAGAAAAAGAAGTCTTTGTTATCAAAATCTAGGAAGCTTCTTTTTCCCAACAAAAAAAGAATGAAGACATCGCATCAAGGTCTAGATGAACATTATGGAATGGCGGAACCGTTACTTGATGATGCCGTATCTTTAGATGAAATAGATAAAAAAAAAATGGATTTTATAGAGTTTCTTAGGTTAAATAAATTCGAACGGTTATCCTTAGAAACAAATACCAGGGACCAAGCAAATACACAAATTTGGCACACTGAAAGACGAAATCGTTTGACAGCTTCCAATTTTGGGCGTGTTTGCAAAAGAAGATCGACTACATCGTGTAAATCGATAGTATATGATCTTCTTTACCGGACGTTATCTTCGGCAGCGACAGAATACGGCAACGCAATGGAGACAAAAGCAATTTTATTTTTACAACAAAAATTAAAGTTAGTTGTTAATCCATGTGGTCTCCTTGTTGATGAACATTTACCCTTTTTAGCAGCCTCTCCAGGTAACAAATTATCATATTTTATTAATTTTAATTGGACATTATAGCAGGTTAGTACTTATTAATTGGAGTTTTCATTTTTAGACGGATTAGTAGAAAATGATTATGTCGTGGAAGTGAAATGTCTATTTTCAGCAAAGGATATTGCTAATTTTGTAGAAGCTATAAATACGAAAAAGGTAATGTATAAAATAAATATTTCAACTACACTAAAAAACATACTTAATTAATACCAATTGTTTCAGATAACATTTTGCCGTGTTATAAATCTAGAACGGCTAGAAATAAAACGGGATCATAGTTATTATTATCAAATTCAAGGACAGATGCATATAAGTCGAAGAAACTGTTGTTATTTTGTTGTTTATACTGACCAATGGGCTGAAGTCGAAATAATACCATACGACGAATCATTTTGGCAAGAAAAAATGGTAACTCAATTAGAATGGTAAGTTATAAAAAAAATATAAACAATAAAATTATGACTAAGTTTTGTATTTATTAATTATAAGGTTCTACAAAGAGTGTTTACTCCCAGAAATTATTAATCCACAATACGGGAAAAGGCTGCAAACAAACGATATAAAAGATCCAAAACTCATAATGGATTGTATAAAAGAAAAAAAAGGGAGGTAACACATAGTTATAAAAATAACATACATGTAAATAACATACATAAAATAACTACATGTTCATTTTGTAGCCTTCTACTTAGTAGTATATGTATTATACTTTTTTTTAGTTTTTTATAGGTACAATATTATATTTTATGTTATAATTACTAATACTAAATATTTCATAACTATATATTTAATACTTATTATCATTTAAATCAAATTAAATTATTATTATATGTTTCTATGTTTGAGTATTTATACGAGTAACTATACAACTCAACATAAGTTGACGTTTTACATTACTAACAACTTCCCATGTATCCGGCTTCGCCCGGAATTATACATACAACTGCCACAAAGTACTCACAAATTATATTTAAACTATCCTCGTGAAACACTCCTTTTATCAGTGAATACTAGAATACAATTCGTTCAGTATTTACTGAAAAAATCGTGCACAGACACGGTAAACAAATTTGTTTTATAATATGTAGAGATTTGAAGTAGATAATAATTAAGTTCTTTTTGAAACTGGTCGACGTGTATTCGCATATAATATGTAAGTAAGTACATAAGGTTTTCTTTTAATCTTATAATGGTGCTTTTACTCTGAACCTAAAATTAAGCGAGTTATTTTCAGTCTGCCTAAACATGTTTTTACCACTGAAAATCACCGGTACGCACCTCGCTGCCATCGCTTTTCTTTACGACCCGAGTCGCCTTCGACATAATATTTAACATTAGTCTTTTTTTTTCTGTGTCTTACACCCCGCCCACTTTATTATGAACACCAAACAAACTTTTTATTTAATTATTGGATAAAATATTGGGAATCGTATTTGACAAAGAACTTTATTAAAAAAGATAATTTTTTAACACAAAATACTGTTGATGATCTAAAGATTACAATAGCTTCAACAATAGATGCAGTTTTTACTTGCTAAAAAAGAAACATTTTTCTTATGTACTGACGTCTAAATTTAATCAAGATTGTTTGGAAGTAATGCTATTTCATTTTACTAAATTTCACATTTTAAAATATAGTATATATCTATGGATTTCTTATAAATGATTACGACAAATATATATTCCAGAATTTTTTCGGAATAGCGAGACAAGTAGCTGGTCCAAATAACCACCCGTCATGTCCATCATTTCTTCAACTATACAGAATGCTTTCAATTTACTCTTTAATAAAACCTCCAAAAAGTGGAAACTGTATGATTTTTTAAGGTATTATAAAATAACGCATGCTACTTATAAGCGAAAAATTAAATATATATATATAAGATAATACTCCTATTATTACATTAGAAGGTTTGAAAGATGTAAAACATTTAAATGATAGCTCATCCGTTAGATCTGAATAAATCGAAAAGCTGAAAGAAAAGCTAGATAACATTTCTGAAGAAGGATGTTGGGATGTAGATGAGATTTTTATGGAGCACAACTATTCCGACTCTTCTGTATTTTATTGCATAGCATACTATTTAGCTGGAATAGTTTGTAAATATGTTATTATTATAATAAGGAACTAATTAAGCAATTACTTTAAAATGTATTCATTTTATTAATAGATACATGGCAAAACGCATGACAGTAAAAACTAAATGCCAATTATGTACTTCTAGTATAAAAACTTAATACAACTGAATACGATACTAATGCAGATTTAACTATAGCAAAAATTAGAGGATACCTCACACACCCTAATAGCAATATTTATAAAATTATAATAACACTGGAGTTGTCAATATCACAATTTATCCATTCTCCAAATGCATTTGAAGAGATTTGCGAGGACTTTTTGAATATTGTCTTCGAATTTCCATGTGCAGCACACAAACAAAATGTTTTGACTGATTTATGTACACATTATATTATAATGAGAATGCACCAGTACACATTTATTAATAACCAGCAAGACAAATAATTAAACAAAACAAAGAAGAAACTGGCTAAATTAGTAAACACTTAATATTATAATTAGTTTGAAAAAAATGTGCACTTGTTAAACTAAGAACTATAAAACTTATATTATTAACCTTGCAACTAGTGTTTCTTATAATAATAATTCATAAACGGGTTGTATTATTTTATTTTATATAATAATATACTTTTTTTTTTTTGAAAGTAGGTATTACGGGCTATTACATGTTAATGTTTTTTAATTATTTGATTATTCATTTTTAATACAATATAAATATATAATGCTGGTTTTAACAAACTGGTCAAAATTGTAATAAAATGTTTAAAACTTTAAAATCGGATAATAAGTTACTAAAAGCAATTCATGGATCTCAAAAATATTTTACATAGGATATGAAAACTATATCCTATCACTAACAATTATTTAAATAAACAAGTACAAATATAAAAATTTAAGTTCAAAGAAAAAGTATCGATTAACCAGAAATGTTACAGAAATTGTATTTTGGCAAGTAAAAATACAAACAAAATCTCATTAAGATATATGATTTTGTTATACGACCACATTTCTAGTGGTTTATTGGTTGGGTATTTGTTGAACGACTTGAATTTTGTATGACGAGTATAATACTGTCTCGAAGGTTCCATGTAGTATCTGGCTATAGTTAATACTTTGAGCAGAATAACAGATTCTAGTAACAACAACCGCGTACAAGGCAACCACACAAATATAATCAACATTATTTTCCACGATGGGCTCGACTCTGTATGTGGTCACCTTAAACGTAATTCTAATTGTGCTTTTCGCACGAACGACCATATCAGCGGTCACTACAGAAAATACAATGGCTAAGCGTGGTATATTAAAAGCCTTCGACGAATTCAAGTTGATGGTAAAATCGGCAATCGCTCCCAAACACTTGAAGGAAACTTTGCCGGTCATCACATCCGATCACGTTCAAAACGTGCAACCGATAAGCACACGGATGTCGATAGTGTCTACACCACCACAGTCACTATCAAATCAACCCTCATCTAACAAGATACCAGACATTTGTCGTGAACGATCTCAGAGGAAGTCTCTGGACAACACGGCACGTGACATCATCGAAAAATACAAAAAATCCTTGAAACTCGAAACCTCAACTAACCCACCCTAAAAGTAATAATACTAATTATTTTTTACGGTTCTTATACTGCAGAAGAATCAAATTTTTGTAACGGTTCTTGTTTCGTAACAACGTTATATTTCATTTTAGCGATTTAATATAATATATAGTAATTGTATCTTGAATTTTGTATCTCGAGTTCTTGGAGGCGAGACCACGGGGGATATGCTCTCCGCTAAGGTCATGTTCGATTATTGGAGACCGATCGTCGGTTCGCCGGCGGAAGAACCGTGTCCTAGATTTAGCCTCGGACCGGGTGACGGTGATAGCCCGGTCCCCGCCCAGTACGACATTTTCGCGACGGGATCTCGCCCGAGGAGGTATCGAAATCCTTCCCGGGTGTTAAAATTGCGCCGGGCCCCGATGGGTTTACGGAGCGGCGTTGGCGGAAACTTCCGATAGGTTTAGTGGCTGGAGTTTTCAACCTGTTTATCGCGTGCGGGAGAAGCCACCTGACTATCACTTACCACAGGATTCTGGCCAGGCGTCTGGAGGCAACGTCGCTGGTCGACACGCGCAGGGCGGACGGGGCGGCGGAAAATATCTTCCTCCTCGACTCGCGTTTGGCGTGCCGGAGGCTTTGTTTGGCGTCGCTCGATTTATCGAAGGCGTTCGACACGGTCTCTCATCAGTCGATCACGCAAGCAATGCGGAGCGTCGGCTTGTGCGAACAGTTTGTGGATTATATCTCCAAGCTGTACGCGCGGTCGAGGACGTTCTTCCAGGCGAAGGGCCAGTGTTCGAGTCAGTTTTCGGTGCACAGAAGCGTAAGACAGGGGGACCTACTTTTCCCGCTATTATTCAACCTGGTAGTTGACATTGGATTAAATTCGCTGCCCGCTGCTGTCAGATCCCGGGACTGAGTTTGGCGTGCGACGCGTTTACGGGTCAAATGCGGGACGCTGGCATGAGACTGAACCTGACGAAGAGTGCGACTCTGACCCAGGTACCCTCGGGTCGTGAACAAAAAGTGAAGGTAGTTCGCGAGGTTTACTCCGTCATGGGGTCAAACCTCCCGACGCTGGACGTGAACAACTTGTGGCAGTATTTAGGCGTTAGTTTCGCAGGCGGTCGCCTCGGCGAGTATGATGGTCTGGCATACGCAACGGCCATCGAGAGAGTGTCTAACGCCCCAAATGAGACTGGCTTTGGTAAGAGACTACCTCATTCCGAAGTACGTTCACGAAGGTCTCGGTCGGTAAGTTGCGGAGAATGTCATATGTCACAAGACTGGCCCTCCTCATGTCCCAACTCGTTCATTCACTCGCAAACATCGGCGGGCGGCTTGGGTGTTCCGGACTTTCTATCGTTTGTCCCCCGAAATCGCTATAATAGATTGTTAAGACATGAGAGCTCGACGGTTCCCGCTGTGCGTGAGTCGCTCGCCCGGCGCCTAATCGAGCAAAACCAACTCAAGCCCACCTACACCAGTCGGTCGACGGATGCGAACTTAAACTATGCTCGGAAGCCGCAGAGTCGGTAGCGTATATGAGAAATCCCCACGGTATCCTCGGAAAGGACTTCAAAGACTACGCCCGGCTTCGGATCAACGACATGCCGAGCCGCAAGCGATGTAACCGAGGTCGCAATGGCCCCACCATGTGTCGGGGCTGCGGCGTGCCGTCGGAAACACTTGCGCACATAGTTCAGAGCTGCCCGTGTACTCATGAGGGCCGACTGCTCCGACACGACACGGTCTTCAAACGACTAGCAGGCGCATTAAGCGAAAAGGGGTTCGACTCGGAGATGGAACACTTGTACAAGTTAAGAGACGGGAGTTTAAAGCTGGACATCGTCGCGTCCAAGGGCGACGATTTAAGAGGCATAACCTCCGTTATTCTGGATGTTCAGGTTGTATCGGCGACAGCGATAACGGCTACTCATAATGCAAAGATCCGCAGGTATGTGGATCGTAAGGATCTGCACGCAAAGATTCTTGACC